TCTCTTTTGAATCAGAATGATCTTACTACAATTAAATCTGTCTGGATCACATCCATTTTCTTCAAAAATTATTATCTCACCTCAGTTTCTACATTGAAAACCATGATCATTAAGCAGGATTTCTCTTGAACAATAGCGAAGGTTGCAAACTAATGTCCAAACATGTTTTCAGCAAGGTCTGCTATGGATTTCTACTCCATTCTGTTTTCTGGACTTCCCAAGATGCAATATGTAAAGTAATATAATGCTGTTGCCTAGAGGAAAAAAGGTATTTCATTTCTGCCCTTTCTCTTTCTTTTTACTATTAATGGCAATGGGAATTAGCTGCTGGAAACTCCAGATAAACAGCTCATTAATAGTTCATTGGGTCCAAGATGCAGTCCAGGGACCACAGATGCTCTGTGAGGCTAATATGGATGGTCTGTACTGAATGTCAAAATTAAAACATGCTAAAAAATCTGGTGAGGTAATCAAACCACACATTGCTGGTGATATAGCTTGAGATCCAATAATTTTGGTATTCTTGTGCCAAATCTTTTCATTTTTTCTTGAAGTGTAAGAAGGAGGGAACATAAAAATATAAGTTAAAATGAAAAGCAACTATGATAATTCTATTAACTAATAGGGTATCAAGGTGGCTTTTTTAGAAGTGTCTGAGAAGTTAATGGACATAAAATGTCATGGATGAACTGGGAATAATCTTTGAAAAGGGTAAAGCATAAATACCCTTTTCAGTTCAATCGCATCCTTTGTTCACTAAGCCTGAGATGAGCTAACTTATCACTTTACAATAGTTCTATTGTTACATACTGCCGTTTTATCACTTCTGCATAATGATCAGACAAAAATAGTTAGCTCAAACTTTGTTCTCACTGACATCCAATGTATAAAGCTCTACAGACTCCTCAGCAACATTTTCTTTTCTACTGTTAAATGAACTGAATCTCATTGGGCTTAGTGCTAGGAAAAGAAGATGGAGTAGTATGAACATAAATCAAATGATGAGTCAGCCACATTGTGTAGGCTTCCAAAAGTTTATCTGGAAGTAAATATGTAATGTTCAACTGACTGCAACCCAGATTAAAGTTGAACTGCTTTGGCAGCTGTCACCACTAAGTAATGAGAAGGGATTCAGTTCTTCTAAAGCAAAATTTTAGCATATTAATCTCAATTAAGCTCAAATATTTCTCATTAGAATATACTAGAAATATATAATGGTTGTCTCAGTTCAGCCACATGCTGGTCAGCCAGGCTCATTATATCCGATGCTGTAAATGAAAGCTATCTGAGCATGTTGTAACTAGTATGTCCGCACAACCTAGTTACTCTGAAAAGAACATTCCCTCTAGATGAAGTAGAACTTTCTGCCAATAATATTGTATAACCATTTGGCTCTAACTGAAGAGAAACATGAGGTGATTTCTGCACATAGAAATCTATATATGTAAAGCTTGTTTAAAACTACTTTTGAAGTAACAATATTTGATAGCTGCTGATGCAGCAAATAAAAGCCTAAGGAATATTCTAGGCAATGCAGAATTTTAGATATGCATTATGAACTGACTGATTAAAAACTGGTTTTAATCTCATGTGTGAATATATCTTATGTTAATCGCTCCAGCCATACATCAACAATTGGAGGGCACAGGGATATATGATGCTCTAGCTTTCACTCTAACAGCCCTTTCCTAAAAGATCATCTTAAGAATATGCTGTGATTGATCAGGTTATCCTTTGTGTGCTGTGCTTGTGATCTATAAATACAGTATTGTGAGATAGGATTATATATTCTCAGTTGAATTAATATTTTTTCTATGATATAGTCAATATTTATACTGGATTCTGACAGCAAGATTCAAGTTAGTGAGCTGGTAGCACTGATATATCAGGACACATTCCAAGGACAGAGTTTTTTTCCCCTTTCTATTACATCCTACATTTGATATTTTAAAACTGAGAGGAAAAAAACTTTGCTTACTAATTCAGTGTCAAGGAACATATTGCAATCCAGATGTAAATATTCTGTAAATAAAGGATTTAATGCAACGTACATAAATTTTATATAAATGCAAATTTATCATGCTGGACAACTGAAATCCTTGCTAGATAAGAGTTAGCGCTGTCATTATAAAATGAAAACAGTAAAGTATCTTTATGAAATTTCTCTATGATCCTTGATAAATTTTATTTGTGAAGCAATTAATGTGAGATATTGGTAGTAAAATAAATGTATTTATCAAGTTAACACTTAATTGGGCAGCAATCAACAGGCCTCCATTCTGTCTCATTTTAAAGTTATCAGTAGAGATGCCACCTATCTCAGCAAGGTTACAGGGCGCCACCTAGGGTTATGCAAAAGACCTTGAATTTTTTTCCCTTTAGAGTTAGATTTAAATTTAAGGATTAATATAAATACAATAGATAGCTCTAGTGGAATGCCTTGTCTTCAGAAAAAGGTTTCATGAAATAATGAAAAGTTTGAAGAAACAAATTGTTTTACCAAGTGTCAGGTTCTGGCCAGGTACCAGGCAGTGGTTTCTGATCTATAAACATTGCAAGATTGGGAGCCTCTCAGCACAGGCTTGAGTGCTCAGCAGCAATTTATACCCAGAGTCTTGGAGTATCTCCATTGCTTGAACTCTCCTTACTCATTGGTGTGTTTATTATCTCTGGATCTTCAAAGGACCAGTTAGATTTAGTTGTCTGACACCTAGCATTGGCTGACACTTGGCAAAATAGAAATATGAGTATAGGTCTTTTTATTGTTTCTATGTTATAGCATAGATACCTTAACTAATTTTTATTTGATCAAAAGAAAAGCAACCTCTTAACATTAAGATGTCACAATGGTGAGTTTTACAAGAAATCACAGGTTAAAGTAAAGTAAAAACCGTTCAAATGACCTATCAGACCCTGGAAAGCTTGTTAAGTCAGGTCACAACACAATTTAGCAATTTTAAACTTGTCAGTATTTTCTAAAAGGTTTTTCCCCAAAAGTCATGTTGACTAGTAAGTGTTCACACTGAAGCACATTAATTAACCCTGGTTAGTTTAAGCCTCATTTCAGCAGACATTTTCTACTGTTCCATTACCAGAAAATGAAGAGATAAAATAAGTCATTTGAAGAGGCCAAAACATCCGTAAAGGCCTTTGTTGCTTTGGAGGCAGATCTAGTAGAGGCTTGACAGATTAATACTGTAGGTGAGCAATAAGTAGAGGACAAGGAAGATTGTCCACTGTTGATTGCAAAATACATCAGGTACACCACTAATCATGCACTGCACTGAGTTTCTTCTAAAACAAGTAAAGATAAGCAGGCAAAATGGAACTCCTATTAGCTCAGGTCTATGTTATGTATAGTTCATATGTTTTTTGAATTACCTTGTTGACATATAACTTGAACTGTCTGGTATATAGTAGGATTTCCATTGTTCTCTATATACTAGAACTCCTTAAAGTCCTTTCATTTATCTAAACTCATATGAGAATTGTGCTGCTTTCATGTTTAACAAGAGTAAAAACTGCTATTGTCATGGTTCCAACAGATGAAACTCTTCAAAAGACCTTAAAGAATCTTTTATTCAAGAAACAAAGTATTGGCACTACATAGTTGAAACCAAAAACTAATTTCCCCTCCCCTGGATAGAAAGTAACAAAGCATAATTCCCTTTTCCAATGAACAGTCATAAATCACGTTCCCCAGCCGGCTTTCTCCCCAGCTCTTCAGCCCCCTAAAACTCTATCAACACTGGGCCCAATGACCTTGGGTTCCCCGGCTGAGTTATTATTGTTATGACTAGCTGGAGTCTCATCCACATTCTCCCTCCCAGCATCAACTAACTCTAAAAGCAATAGAGGAAAATGGCTGCATTTCCATCTGTTGTCAAAGCAAGAACATCCGATGTTAGCAGCGTTGACAGCTATACAACCAACTGCTGTTTGTTTGCTCAACAATAAATCCCATCAAATTCAGTGGAACATATTCCCATATGCTTGCCTTTCAGCCTAAGGCTCTGAGGCTAAGTCTTCATGTACCTGAGACTCAGAATAAGCATCATTAAATGCAGTGGAACACACTCCTGAACAAAAATACAATATGTAGTGCTGCTGAACCCACAGCTAAATATTCAGTTCCTTTTGATTTCTCCGAATTTTAATATTCTATGAGTGGAAAGCAATTCATAGCACAGAACCTTCTGTTTCCTAACTCTGCAGCTCCTTAAATTGTTATTCATTTGGTAAATCCTCTGAACATTGTGGGCTGCATCTTATAGGGCTATATGTGATCTTCTGCTTCTGCATCCTGCTCAGTGCATGGCATGAGGATCAAATTCTGCCCTCTCTAATTTGCCAATTAGCAACCTATTCCTGTTTTCCCATTTATTTAAGATCATGCTCTTCGCTGCTTTCAGTGGCTTCAGGCTACATTTCCAGGTAGCACAACGGGGGTAGGTAGCTCTGAAGACTACAAGTTTTATATATTGAATATTTATATATCATAAACAAGCTGATTTTCTTTTCTCTGCCACTCTTACAATCCTATGAAGCAGAGCATAATTTATCTCATTTTACAAACAGGGGATAAAAGGTCTCAAAGGCCAGCTTTCCTGATTCACCTGAAGAATTCATGGTTAAGTTTGGATATGACTCCAAAAATCTACAATGAAACCAAACTCCAGTGAGTATGGATTGGGAAGCTGTCTATCATTGAAGGACTTTTCCAAGGTGATCCGAATATTGCTCAGAGATCTGCTGCAGACTTTACATATGTATTTTCTGGCACATAAATAGTTATCTCAGCATCTTTGCTTATCAACATATGAAACATTGTCAAAGGTTATTAAATAACAAAGTCTTGGTGTTGCCTCAAGAAGATAGGAGGTAAAGAAAACCAAGGAGGTAAAGAAAACCAAGGAGCTGTAGAAAGTCTAGGCAAAAAATGCAAGTGAGAAGAAATTATTTTCTATTTCTAATGCTTTATGTTTTCTCTTTTATTAAAGGAAAGTGTGGACCTGGGAGAGATCATGTTTTCGCTTTGTTACCTGCCAACTGCAGGTCGCCTCACTCTAACAGTCATTAAATGCAGGAATCTCAAAGCAATGGACATAACTGGATACTCAGGTAGGTGCTTCCTTTCTCCGAACAAGGTGGTTGTATTTGATATCTGTGATGTTTCTGTGACACTATTATTCCTTTAAGACTCAAGGGAATGTCCTATATATTACTATATGGATTGATTTGTTTGATTCTGATGAGATTATTCCTGGGTTAATATAAATATTTTCCAGAAATATGCAGAAAATAGTGGTATGCATAAATAGGCTACTTAGTGCTATTTGATTGGAAATCAAATATTTTCCATAAAAGTCTAAGAAAAAAAGACCTGATTTAAATTTTATCATACACACATACACACTTATTAATCAAACAAATTTCCTTAGTGTTATGTCCGAGCCTTGCAAACGGCTCGGGCGTTTGCAGGCAGTCCCGGGCAGGTGCAAAGCTGCCCGGGACCAGACAGGCTGTCGCCAGCGCCATGCGCATGCGCGGGTGCTGGCGCGGGAAAAGTAACACAATTCCCCGGGAGTTGCCTATATAAGAGGCTGCGAGCGTTTGGGAAGCCTTGAAGCCATCTACTTGTAAGCTGAACGCAGAATAAAGAAAACTGAGAACTCCAACTGCTTCTCGTGTCTGTTTTGCGCCAAGGACTCAACACTGGCGACGAGGGTGGGATTGCCTTACATCGCCTGGAAAGGAAGAAGTGTAAGCTTACCCAAGTGAGTCCTGAGCAGCGGAACGGCGTCGACTCGGCAGCTACCCGCCAATCCAGTGCGCAGTCGGGGGTAGGCTGGCTGATAGACCCGTCTCCTGAAGATGGCGAAAATCGGAAGGCTTTCGGAGTTCGACGTCTCACATCCAGAGCGGTGGGAGTCATACGTAGCCAGGGTGGAGAACTATTTCAAGGCAAACCAAGTGAGGGAAGAGAGCTTGAAGGCTGCCACCCTGCTTTGTGTTTGCGGTCAAGACGCCTTCAACATCGCAGAAAACCTTGCAGCACCTGTTCCAGTAGAGTCTGTCAGCTACGCAGATCTGAAGAAGCTACTGAAGGAGCACTTCCACCCCAAAATGTCCGTCATCGCATGGCACCATACCTTTGAGCAGAGGGATCAACGGCCCGGCGAGTCGGCCAAAGAATTCATCGCCGCATTACGGAAGGCCGCCAAGCACTGCGAGTTCAAAGACCTCGAAGAACGACTGAGGGACCGATTCGCTGTGCGGGGTTAAGGCATCGAGATCTACAAACAGAGACTTTTCGCTAAAGAAGAATGTACCTACCAAGAGCCTTAAGGGAAGTCACCGCAGAAGAAGCAGCAGGCGACGCTGTCAAGAACAGCGGCCGCCGGCCCGATCAGAAACAGTCCAGAGGTTGCATCCGTGCACCAGGGAAGACATCCAAAGGAAATCGAGGAGGATCCGGACAAGGGGAAGTCGACCGTCCTCACCACACGAAGGAAGAAAATCAGAAGGAAGCTCTTCAGCTCCGCCAAGTGCAATCGCTTGGAGGTCGCCACAGGAGAACCGACTGCAAGTTCCGCTCCGCTACCTGCCGGGCATGCGGCAAACAAGGGCATATTGCAGCTGTGTGTCTGAGCCGACGAAAGGCACAACCCCAAGAAGAACGCCTGAAAGGTACCAGATTCCCCAGCCCGAATAGGGTAGGGTTTTGCGCTTCGCGACGAAGCATCTGTAGAACAGGCACACACAAGCCCAGGAAGAAAAAGCTGTCACTCAACGTGAAGCTACAAGGGGGTTCCAGTATCAGGAATCGACCAGGGTTATGCCTTTTCAATCATTCTCCTTGCATACATTTAGGAAGATTGTTCCGGTAGTGGGAAACTCAGACCAACGTTAAGGCCTTCTGCCATTGTGTTAACAGATTTTCAAAATTCAAGAGTGTGTGTTAAGGGGGAGGCCACCCTTAACGTGCAATACAAGAGTTTTGAAGGTCCACTAGACTTATTAGTAGTAGTGGGTGAACGAACGAGTCTCATAGGACTCGATTGGTTTGAGGCCCTGGGGATACACGTCACAGGACTCAACAGTTTACAAACACTCGACCTACAGGAAGTCTGCAAAGAATTTGCAGATGTTTTCAGCCCCCAGCTGGGCACATTCAAAGGACCACCTGTGTCCTTAAGCTAGACCCCACTGTCACTCCCATTAGGATTAAAGCAAGAAGGGTCCCTTTTGCTTTAAAAAGTAAGATTGACACTGAACTAGACAAACTAATCCAACAGGGAATCCTATAACCTGTTGATTCCAGCCCGTGGGAGACCCCCATTGTCACGCCTCTAAAGGCAAATGGGGACATTCGCAGTTGTGCTGATTACAAATG